CACGATATGGGACGATATTTGTACGATATATCGACGATATATCGTATCGTCCAAAGCACGATATGGAGTCAATATCGTATCGCGATATCTAAATCTGGATATCGTGCAGGCCTAGGCGGAGCAGGCGGAGCTGGCAGAGCGCGCGCGCAGTGGGATGTGACCTGCGCACCCCCAAACACAGCAGCATTGATCGGCCAGGCGCGACGAGGGAGAGTGTGCAGGAGAGAGCGAGGGCGAGGGGAAGGGGCGGGTGCTGGGCTGGTCGCTGGGCCCGCTGGGCAGTGCTCGCAGGCTCGTTGTGGAGGGCGCACCGTGGCTCTGGCTCCGCCTCTACCCCGCCGCCCCAAGGCCTGCTGCCCGCCTCCCGCCAGCGCAGCTCCGCGCGCGGCGCGCCCCAACGCCCCCTGCAGGCCGAGAGCCTTCCCCCTTCCTGCCCGCGCCGCGGCCGCGCGTCCAGGGCCCAGGGCTTGCCAGCACAGCCCACGCGGCTCCCCGTGAACCCCCGGTGTCCAGAGGGACGGCACGGTGCAGGCCGACAGAGGGTACGGGGGGCAGCCCGGCGCGGGCCCCTACGGCCAGCCCTACGGCCAGCCCCACGGCCAGCCCCAGGGCCAGCACGCGGTGCTCGCCGTGGGCCCCACGGTCCAGTACTCCCACGGCCAGGTGCGCCACGTCACGCACGTTCGGCAGGTCGCTGTGCACCAGGAGATGGCCACCAACCAGATCGCCCAGGTACACGGCCGCCTAGGGCCCCGCCTTTACTACACACTAGCCGTAGACCCCGTAGCTCCGCGATCTTCCGCCGCCCCGCCGCCCTCGGTCTCCGCCGGAGCGCGGCGGGCGCGCCCAGGACGTCCCCGACGTAGATGACCCAGATAGGCCGCCGCTGTAAACAGTGGCCGCCCCCCTGCCCCTGCCCCCCGCACATCGCCGGCGCGGATAAGCGGCAGCGCGCGGCTCAGATAGACCCCGGAGCGGGGAATGAAATGGCCACTCCCGCCCTCCCCACTAGCCGGGCTGGGCCGGAGGCTGGGCCGGTCCCGAGGCCCCCCAGGCGCCCCAGATAAGGCCGCACTCGGCCAGGACAAACAATGGACCTCTCCTCCTCCGCCGCCACCACTTCCGCCAAGAGGACACGCTCCGCGCCGCCCCCTCGGCCTCAGCTTCCTCCCTTGGTCCGGGACAGCCTCCTGTCCTGAGGTCCTCTGAGGTGTTGTCGTCGTCGTCCGTTAACGTCTGGGTCGAACTACTGCGCCAAAAGGGGGTAGGGGTGGTGTGGTCCTGTAAGTGGGTTTACGCGCGAAATTTTACGCCCATGATGGCCCATTACCCTTCCACAGCAGATACACCCCGCTGCGCTGGCCCCCGGGTGGCGGTATAAAGTCTCCCTTCCCCCCTCTCCTCCCACGCAACCCCCTGCGCTGCGCGCCCTCCCTCGTCATACCTTGGGTCGCAACCCTCTGCTGCAGTCATTACTCCTGGGATCGCCCATTTATTTCTGCCTCACTAAATGTGCTGGGGCCTTGCTTTGTGGCGCGCTCTAAAAGGGGGACATCATCCCGCTCTGCTTGGCCGGTGCGCTATTACAAGTGCGACGAGCCTCCGTTTGCACCCCTCGGCCCGGTGCGGTGCGACTCTTTCTTCTTCTTCTTCCCACGCCTCGCCACGCCCCGCCCCGCCACGCCCCGCCACGCCGCACCTCGCGTCCTGCGCTGCTCGGCTCGGGTCACGATACTACCTCAGATAGCGAGGTGCACGGGGCCTCCCCGCTGTGCGATAACGCCTCAACACGCTACTCTTTCAAGAACAAAAATAACAAAAAAAATGTTCATCGTGCTTTTTTGTGTTTGTCCCCGCCAGGTGTGTGTCTCGGTTTACGCAGTGCACTTTTTGTGACTGCATAATTAGTACCGCGCATGCAGGTGGGAGAACTGTGGCTATTAACGGAATGGACCTTATCTGTCTCTCTCTATGGCACCGTATGCGAGTGCGAATGAGGCAGCTCGCCCGCACCTCTGCATGCGGCACAGTATATGACTGAGACAGGGAAGGCGATTCTTGGCGGGAACTCGCCCATGTGCCATTGCAGAAAGCAGAGGGACCCTTAGAACCCTTCCTCTTCTGTGGGCATTTCACCTACGGCGTGCGGGTTGGTTGCCTAATTGCTATGCGAGGCAATGCTGTATTAAGCGCCAAGCAGTGTTGGGTTCAAGCTTTGCACTCCCCGCCGCCCCCTCCCCCTTTCGTCTTCGCGCGAATACCTCAACGACCCTTGTCCGAGGCGCCATGCTCGGCGACGATAGAGGGTCGTCCAGGAAGTACGTCCGTTTTTCTCAGATTCAATCGGCGAATTACGGGAGCTCGGCGCCTGCGAGACTGTGGGTAGGCCACCCCGCTGTGCACGCGTGCACTGCAGACACGATGTTGCCTACCTATCAGGCGCTAGGAGAGCTTGCACAGGCTGAACTTTCGCAATTTCGCAAAGGCTGAATGACGACGCACTTTCTACATGATCCCTTGGCAATCCTGCCCGCCCACCTGAATGCGGTGTACGGCCCACCCACCTGGCTGCGGGCTGTGCGGCTCCAATCCCACCTGCCGGCCGAATCCTGATTAATTATTGGCTAAATTCATCCCTCCCCGAATCGCTTTGGCATGTGTCTGCCGCCTCTGACACTTTATCTCTTCGTCAATCAACATCGTCGGTCGGGGCGCGGCCCATGCCGGCCCGGCCCGTGTTGGGATGATTAGAGTTCTGGGGGGGAGGTTAGTCCAAAGAGTCGGGAAGAGCGAAGAGCGCGCGGGGCGCGAGGAGGCGTGTTGCGCTGTGGTTAGAGGGGGCAGAACGCGGCAGCAATATCTCCCTATTGTGTCTCCCACCCTTTCTGCTCCTCTTTCTTCTTCTCTCTCCCCTCTTTCTTCTTCTCTTTCCCCTCTTTCTTCTTCTCTTTCCCCTCTTTCTTCTTCTCTTTCCCCTCTTTCTTCTTCTCTTTCCCCTCGTTCTTCTTCTCTCTCCCCTCGTTCTTCTTCTCTCTCCCCACTTTCTTCTTCTCTCTCCCCTTTTTCTTCTTCTCTCTCCCCTTTTTCTTCTTCTCTCTCCCCTTTTTCTTCTTCTCTCTCCCCTTTTTCTTCTTCTCTCTCCCCTCTTCTTCTCTCTCCCCTCTTTCTTCTTCTCTCTCCCCTCTTTCTTCTTCTCTCTCCCCTCTTTCTTCTTCTCTCTCCCCTCTTTCTTCTTCTCT